ATTGTTACTTTAATAACTAAGAAAAATATGATCAAGACATTTATTCCAAACTAATCAACAGATAAGGATAAAATAATTATGTAAATCAATACACAAAAGAACAATTAAAACTATGAATTAAAGTGCATGCAATAAGCAAACAATAATAGTCTAGTAATATATGAACAGCGTAGATAAAATAAATAATTTCGTATTGATTAGTTACTGGCTCCACTGGTGACATGTATTTAATTAATTAGGAATTTCTAATATTCACAAATTACTCCATTATTATTTATTAAATTTTAATTAACTGTAACGGGAGAAAAGGGTGAGGGATTCTTACCCTGGGTCGGTATTCGAAACACTGCTTTTTCCACTGCACTTCCTGGTGGTTCTCGAATTTCTTGAGTTTTTTTTGCAAAAATCGAAAACACGCGTTATATATCCCGAAATATCTAAAAACAACCCAAAATAAGGGTTTTAAAATTTTCCAGCTGATTTAGGGTTCTGGCACAATGGTGCATCTCCTCTCGGTCTGGCCCTTTTTGGTTGGTTTCGGTTAGTTTTATGCAAAAATTTGCAAAAGATGAAGTTAGGTGGCCTCTGTTGGCCGGAAAAAGAGAAAAACTGAGGCTTACCAGCCAGGTGGTTTTCTGGTGCGACGGCTCCGCCATTTCTCTCTCGCTGCCAGGGATTTTTTTCGATCGACCTACACCTGAAAAGGGTTAGGGACACAACAATCAGAAAATTGAAGGAAACGGGAAATGGGATCGGGCTCACCGGAGCAGTTTTATGTTGCGGGTGCAACGACTCGACCAAGCTCCGCTCCTAATTTTCGACTTTCCTTTTAACTTTTTGGCGCCGATATGGGTGTGGGGATGCTTAGAATTGAATTTCGAAGCAAAATGGGGGAAAAACTCACCTCTCTGGTGCCAACGGTGGCTCCGGTGCAACGGCGACGGTGGTCGACTTTCCTTTCAGTTGCCCTTCTTCTTCTTCTCCGATAGGGTCAGATGTGGCTAGGGTTAGGATTTTTTAGGATGCGATGTTTAAATACCCTCTCTGCATCGATCTGAGTCGTCCGTGCGGGGACACATGACCCACTCCCAGCCGTCGGATCGCTCTTATTTGAGGAATAAATTTGAGTCGTTCGATCGGATTAAATCTGGTCGTTTGATCGCGCCTTAAGAGGAAACGGATTTGGACCGTCCGTGCACGTAGGAGAAGATCTGGGTCGTTGGATCTGTTGGCACGTGGATCGCCCGCATGGCTTCCTGCATGGACGTGTGTTCGCGTGTCTGCTACGCAGCGCACGGCGATCGCCGCGATGCTGACGTGGCGGTCCACGTAGCCAAATTTATGTTATTTTCACTTTTATCCCAGTTTTTGAGATTTCTTTTCAAATAAGTTCTCTTATTTCTATTTTGGTCCTAATTTTGAAAATATTTTCAAATCCACCCAAAACACAATTTTCTCCAAAATTTCAATTAAAAACTAGAAAATAAGTTTTTTCTAATTTATTTATTATTCAAAGCGATTATCCCGGGTCTAAATTCCGGGTTCGGGTATTACATTTGTACTATTTTTTTTTAATAATTTTGATTCTTGTATTTCAAAAAAAAATTGATTTAGTTGTTATTGTTGATGAACAATAATGTTATTAGTAAAAATTTTATTCAAAAATTAATTTAAATACGTATCACATTTTGGTTGAGCTAATATTCATTTCATACTATATATACATGATAGTATTACATGTAACATGAAAAAAAAATACATTTTTTTAATTATTTTAATAAAAATTAAAAGATTAAAGATATAAAATTAAAAGAAAACACATTACCCAAAAAACAATAGCTTCGATATAGATCTTATTATAAGTTCAAATTTTTTGACCTTTTTACATGTCAAATTTTATATCGTATGAAATCTAATACGTGACGTGAATATTCATTAAAGTAAAATGTTTACTTCAAAAAAATTTAAATTAAAATGCAATACGGGTCCTATTTAAATACATGTAACACTTATATTATGGATATTAATATGCATCAACAATTAGAAATTAAATTAAAAATTAAAAAAATAGTATAAAAACCAATTTAAATATGTTTATAGTTGAATATTTTGGCATTCATATGTATATATAGAAGAGTGTAATTAATTGTTAACATTAAGTTTCTTTTAATAATTTTGGAAAAATTATAACTAAAACAGGCTTAATTAATATTGTAAGTCGGGGTCCCCCAATAAAACCACACACGCATATGTATGTACATGTGTATCTATATATATTTACACGATGTAAATATAGAGTGTGAGAGGCGAAGACTCGTAGCGGAAGACTTGCGTATTCCCTTTTGCTTCTAATTTTTGAAACTTTTCGGTCCCACAAAAAGTTGGAATTACTTTATTAAAAATTCATTTGTATTTTTTCCTCTTCTTTTAAGTTTAATTTCTTTTGGATAAAACTATTTTGAATTAAAATTTAATTAAATAAATATAATAGTAAAACCCATGTGAGTTCAAGAAATCGTTTCTCTTGATAAATGATATAAAATAAAAACGAAAATATAAAGTACATAAAAATTACAATTTGTATACAAATAATATCTTATTTTTAAAATAATTTAATATAAAAATAAATATTTCATAGTTCATTTATTAGTAAATAAATTTATCATTAAATATATAAACAAATTAATTCAATTATCTATCAAATATGCATGAAGGGATAAATAACGATCAAATTCAACACATAAAACAATTAAATTATAAAATTGCAATACATTCGGAGTAAAAAGAATGGAAGAGCACAAGGTTTTGTACTAAAACTTTGAAAAAGTACAAATTTTTTTATATAACTTAACTTGCGGTTATGTTTATCGAAGTTTAATACGAAAATAATGATTTAAATAATATTAAATTTAAAACTTAAAATACAAGGCTTCAATTTCGTAAAAAAAAAAAAAAAAAAAATTTGTATAAATTCAACTTTTAGAATCTTATAAGTAGAATTTAGTAAAACCAAGTATTAGTTTATTAATTTCTTCCAACATAGGGTAAATTATAAATTCAATCATGGGTTAAAAACATGCATTAGAATTAGAGCAAAGGATGGTTTTCAATTGGATTTCTCCCAAAATTTGAAACTAACAGCTATATCCTAAGCTTAATTTGCTAATTAACCAGCACTAAAATTCTACTGTGATGTAAATATCATATATATGTGTGTGTGTATATATATATATATATATATATATATAGAGAGAGAGAGAGAGAGAGAGAGAGAGAGAGATCAATTATCCTGATGTTGTATTGATAATGAATCAAAAGTACTAGTTTGAAGTCTTTTAGAGCTGGAAGAAGATAAATCTATAGATTCTTCCTCTTCAGTAAAAGGAGGTCTTGTTGGTGCAGGCAAGTTCACATCCGTTTGTTTAATTAACTGAATTACTTCAGTCATGCTAGGGCGTACGTATGGTACTTCTTGTGTGCATAATAGACCTACCTGAATTACTCTCTTTACCTCATCAATGGCATCCACAATCTCCAAGCTTTTATCTATGATTTCTGTTACTGTATCTGATCCGAAATGCTTCCATGTCTGCCAACCAAAAACCAATCGAGAAAGAAAAATACTCACGACAAGATAAAAATCAAGTACGAATCTCAAGAGATATAATAGTCTAAATAATTATAAATGTAAGCACTGAGCATAAACACACGCATAAAAACACCCACACTCGGGGGAGTTTGAGGATTGCTTAAAAGAATGTGCTTATTTGAAAACTAGATAATTATGCATAAGATGGTAAAAGAGTAAATTGATAGGACAAAAAAGTAAGCAACCATAGAAACTTAACGATAAGAACCTAACAAGCACCATATTTATTTCATTACCAAACAGCTAACGTACGAAGAGTTATGTAAATGTCAAATAACAACCTCGAGCACTTTCTGAATGTATGTCGAATAGGTTATTAGCACTCACATGAATAACCAAAGTTTCCAAGGAATTCTCAGATTGAAATTTGTTGTTCTGCAACCCACTGACTATTTCAAGCACAAGCACCCCGAAGCTATAAACATCTATTTTGTCTGTTAATCGCCCTTCTGCTATGTATTCAGGAGCCATATAGCCTCTGAAAAATAAGGAGAAAACCAGAGTGCAAGATCTTTTTTCAGTACTAATGCAAGTTATTTGGCATGCCAAAACAGTTTCACTTGTTGAAGTAGGAAATGGAATATTAAGGACTTACAGGGTGCCAGCAATGGCAGTGCTGACTACAGACTTCTGACTCGAAGAAAATCTTGCAAGGCCAAAGTCTGCAATTTTTGGTCTGTGTTTCAAGTCTAACAAGATGTTACTTGCTTTGATGTCTCGATGAACAATCCGAACTTCACAGTCTTGGTGAAGATATTCTAAGCCTTGAGCTGTTCCAAGTATAATTCCAAGTCTTTTTTCCCAATATAGTTCTTTCTTCTTCTCTGGGTCTTCCTTCCATTGGTTTCAAGACAATCATCAGAATGTTGGATACCAAAGTTTTAAGATCTATTTTTTACTATTCTGAGATCAGTATCTAATCATAACTAACTTCGAAGAATGTTTAATTGTTCACTATATGCTACTTGTCCCTAATAAGTCATCTTCGTAAAGTACAACAGGTCCAACAGGAGAAATGCAGGATGTATAGTTGGTTATACCTGATTTATAAAAACAAAATATGATATTTATATCACAAATTTTCCAGTTATCCTAAGATTGGTTTTTCTGTTTACTTCTTGAAGAAATAATCAATTTGGTTCATGTATACTGATATGAAGCTTACCAAATAAGATGCGATCAAGAATTCTGTTTCCCAGGTACTCAACACAAGGAAGCTATTCATATGGAGAAGCAGCAACCAAGGAAGCGACCAATTCTTATGTTGAGCTTGGCTATCACATTCATTTCATTGTAAACCTCCTCAAATCTACTCGTTCCAGACAAGAATAAACGTTTATTGCGATTTCTATACCATCTGGTAATGTTCCCTACGTATATTCACAAAGGGGGGGAAAAAACAAATTTGAGCATCATAAACAATAGAAAGGAAAAGATCAAAGTTTACTAAGAGGGTGTTAGGGATGGTTGAAATAAATGTGCTTAAAGTAGTAGTTGCTTTAACTAACTAAAAGCATTTTGGTTCTTATTCGCAGAAATAAGCATTTATATATTTGAATAAAAATACTTACACAGAAAATAAGTATTTATTGTAATTTCACAACTATATATATATAATAGCAAATAAGTAACAAACATGTTATGATAAGCATTCTAAATCTCATTAGGCCCACGAAATAAAACGAAGTTTAAAGGTTAAATATACCTTATAGACTTCACCGTATCCTCCAATACCAAGCTTGTTAACTTCACTGAAGTTATCAGTTGCATTCTCAAGTGTTGAGTACTTGAACTGCATAAAACGTGAGCTTTTCTGCATTGCTGATTTCTCCATCCCTACATAATTAAATATATAACACATACAGTTAATTATGTTTATAGTGTGAAACAAATCATGAGAAAATTAAGAAAGAAGGGAGAAATCAAAAAAAGGATTCTGTCTTTTGATTGATAGCTCAGCATACTTTGTCCTTTATGTTTGCGAATCTTATGCTGGTAAGTCAATTTCCCCACACAGAACCCAATGACAACAGCAGTTAGGCTGACGGCAACTGCGGCAAGAATATATGAGATGTATGATATTATAGCGCCTACAAGAAAATCAGCCAACTCTCTATTATTAGACTTTTAAACCTTCGAATTTCATTAAAGGTAAATATGCCTGTTCACTTGAACAAATAAAAAAGCAAGGATGTGTACCATGAGATGTCAATGTTTTAATGTTGCATGAGTTAACAGTTTAGTTGATAAATATAATCAAATTAAAAAAGAAATTCATAATGTGAAGATCAATAATGAAACAGAAAAGCTTTGTAGTGATGTGCAGAGTTCGCATATCTTGCACTGGCTAGAGCTGAGAAAATCTCTTGGGCACATTTCTCACTTAATTGAGGCGCCTGTTCAAAAGCAAAAACTCAAGAAGATATATCATTTAAAGACTTTTACGACCAACCCCCAGCAACACCATTTCAGAAAACCGCTAGCGACCAATGACATCCCTAAACTAAAGTTACGTTCATCTCAGAAGTCATACAGCCCATGTTGGCCAAAGAAGAGAAGGACAAAACTCTCTAAAGGAAATGAACTTCTACTAGGGATTAGAATAATTTTACCTTCTACTGCAAGTATGCCACCATCATTATAGAACTTGTAATCAGAGTAACGAAGAACACAGCCAGCATTTAGTGCACGCCCCTCTGTTGCTGGCAAGCAACTCATAGCAGACAACGCGCCATCGGTTAGGCAGGCAGAACATGATTGGGGATCCAAGGTTTTCAAGCAACTTCCCATCCCAAATATTGTGGTATCATTAAAAGTCTTATGATGCAGACTAAAACCTCCATTTCTTGGTGTCCAATCAACCAAGTGGGTGATTACTTCGATTACTAGGTCTTTGAATCCTTGTTCTGTATTATTATGGGCACCACATCTCTGTTTTCAATCAATCCGCCAAAGAGAAAATTCAATAACTTATGAAGGGAAAAAGAAATGCAGAAAAAAATATCACGGACATGTCTAGGTCAGGCATTACCAACAAAAAGAATTTTTAAAAAAATCTAAACTGCAATCACTGTCTCTTATAAAATCATTGTGCCTAAGAGATTTTCTATCATAATACCTTAGGGAATATTTAGGGTCTCTTGTAAGTGCTGCAACAAACACATCCAAAGGGTGTTTTTTCAGTTTAAAAAAAAGTGCTTAAATGTAAATTTTACGCAAAAAAAAAGAACTTTTACCCGAACTTTCCTATATGAGCCAAGCATTTGTTTTCAAACATATCTAATAATCATTTATCCTCGTAAATACATTATCCTACCAAAACACAGTAAATGTTTATTTTTGTCAATAAGCAGTTTTGTCCATTTTTCTTTTTTTTAAGTCAGCACCTATATCCTTTAAGTTGCTTATAAAAACCTTTTCTTTAAGTAACTCCAAACACCATCTTAAACTCTTGTTTTCACCGGCTGCCTTCCATGTTAAAGGAAGTTATATAATTGAGTCTCAAAAAGGCACATTCTTTAGATAAAATCCTCTATGCTTAATGCACAGGGGAGAACTGCAAAGCTTAAAAGTTTCTCTTTGAACTTTGATCAATGAGTTGATCAGCTAAAATGGAATGGCTAAAAAAAAATCTAACATGAGGTTTTAGTGTTCAGTGGGTGCCAGTGTCCACAGATAAAACCAATATGGACCTAATTTATCCCCCAAGAAACTCAAAAAATGGAAATGTCGAGCAGGGATAAAACAAGGATCTAAAAAATCCAACGCCCATATGAAAACTGCTATATCATATAAATACGCATGCATATATATATATATATATATATATATATCTATTTACCTATGCATAATGCATATGGGCCAACAGTTTTTCTGTCCTATATAGCACAAATAAAATTGTCTAATCCGACATATTGACCTAATTAACAAAGAACTACAAAAAATTTGTTATATTCAATCTATATCCAAGAAATACTACTACTTAATGGCCAAAATAAAGATGGGTGCAATTAGTCTCTTCCGGTTTCAACCTAAACCAAAACTTCTATTTCACCCGTTTATGTTATTGGCTACAGAGAAAACATGGACATGCATGCATTGCTGCATGCAGGCATATATACATGCTTACCTAGATAAGTACATATACACACATACAGACATGAAAATTGAAGAAAGAAAATGTGAAGAAATAAGGGGAATTATGAAGCTAAAGAAGAAGTTAAATGAAGAAGTAAACGGAAAGCACCTTCATGTCGTCGGGAGAGACAATGTTATCACAGAAACTGAAATTATCTGCGCGAATGAAGCAGCCATCAAGATAAACGCGACCGCCGGTGGACGGGAAGCAGCCAGACAAGAAATCAGAGACCCGGTTAAAGCAAGAGATGCATTCGGGGTTTGAAAGATCCTCCATACACTGCGATAACACATATATCTTCTCAGGTGGTTTCCCGAAATTCTTGAACGCGAACTTGTCGCGATACATATCGTGTTGCATCGCGGCAACGGCGGCATTGTAGTAACCCGTGTACATATTCCCGTCTAATACGTCATTGTCTGTGCATATAACCGCAACAATGTTGATTCTTGGATCGGCGCGGGATTGAGGGATTGAAGAAACTGCCATTGTAATTATCAGAACGATTATGGCGGAAAGAGAAGCTGCCATTGTAAGAATAAGAAGAACAAGACGGGTTAATGGAAAGAGAGAAATAATCAGGTGGTTTCTTCCTCCTATTTTTCCAAATTTTGGATTTCGTTTTTTCTAAAGGTTATATTTAGGGTTTACAGAATCTGTGTGGTGCTAAATTAATGGGGGATTTATATCTAAATTAAATTTGTACAAGAAAAAACTTCTGGTAGAGAAGGAGAGGTGGCAAAACAAACTGAAACCTACTGAAAATTGAAAATTAGGAGCTTGTGTCAGCAGAAAGTGAAGCTAACTTGCGGGGAATCCAACTCAAATCTCATGTCTTCATCTTCCTCGAATTCTCTTCTTGTTATTATTGCTTTGTTTTTTCCTTCAACCATCAAAGCATATCTACACGAGAATCACACACAAAGAAACAGATTCATATACTCATCTCCACGTATATACATCCACACAACACATACATACACACAATTTTATACAGACATTCAACTATGTCTCTATAAGCATATCTACACGAGAATCACACACAGAGAAGCATATTCATATACTCTTCTCCGCATATATACATCCACACAACACATATATACGCACAATTTTATGCAGACATACCCAAATATATCTGTGTGCATGTATATAAGCATGTCTACACGAGAATCACACACAGAGAAGCAGATTCATATACTCATCACCGCATATACATCCACACGACATACACACACACAAGTTTATACAGACATATTCAAATGTGTCTGTACAAATATATATATATACATGCAAATTAAAAAAATATAATAAGATAGCGGTCTACTTGTCATGCTATACCCATCCATTTAACCGACCCAAGTATCCACCCGACTGGACTCTAATGCAACGTGTTTTCTTTCCTAAAACAATCATGTTGCCCTAACGCCATTAAGAAGAATCTCGTCTATGTTCGAAAAGAAGAAGAAGCTTCACTCAAATTTGAATCAAGTCACTCACTCGTTTGGATTGAGCTCCGGCGACTGTTAATAAACAAGCTCAACCACCCATCGTCATTATAACCCACGATCATGACGTAGCACTCAAGCCATCTTGCTCGAATCTCCGTCTGCTCTGAGGTCACCGAGAACATCACATTCATTCATTTGCAGAGTTCAAGTTGCAGAACATCATATCAGAAGCTGTCGTCACAAAGATGCGACAGTCATTCCCATGTGTTTACCAGCTTAATTTTGGACGCTAAATTGTAAATTTCTTTATAAACTCGGAATGCGGAATTCAAAATTCAAATTTCGGTGCTTCCTGGAAAGGGTTGTCTTCGTCGTTAATGGCGTTCAGGCAGCAGAAATAAAAATAACAGGGGATGTCGAGGGGATTATTACAGGTGTGTAACGATTCCCGCGTCATTTTTTTTTCAAAAGCCGCGGCGCGTAAGTGGCGCTGATGTAATTATTACGTAAGATTTTAATTAATTCTCGCACTTTTTCATTGGATTAAATTACTAATTTAATGCAAAATGAAAGTAAACGCGAGATTTCAAAGGGAAGGATTATTAAGTTTAATGATGGTATTTATATAATTTTATATCGAAATTAGAATTATAAAATTCAACAATCTAGATCTTTAATTTGTCTTATAATTAACTTAAAAGGCATTTAGTGGCTAATAAATTTTAAAAAATTACTCAGAAGTGTGATATTTCCACAACACTCTAATAACAACATAAGAAACCCTGAAGGAAAGGGAAGGGGTAAGATCATGTCTCCAGAAAGAGAGTAAAATACACTTTAAGCAGGTCAAAAACCATTGACACTGACTATATTTACCCTCACCTCTTCAATTATATAGATAAACTGAATAAATTTCTGCAACAGAGCTCAAAGCTGCTCCGGTTAGTATAAAAAATTACAGTAAATACATGGGGAAAGAACCTAGCTACCAAAATTTTGAGGTTGAGAAGCAAATTACCCATCTCAAGATGCGGCATCTTTTTTGTTCAAAAATCTGAATGATTACAACAGAATTCGCAATATTTCCAGAGGCCAGGCAGGACGAGAGCTTACTCTAGAACAAAATAGGATCTGCCAGGTTGTTCAGATTAATCAGCACAAGCCTCTTCAACTGATTTTGTACATAAGCCTCTTCAACTGATTTTGTTTGCGAGGACATCTTCAACAATTGAATAGGAACTCTTTCGCATGGCTGTTTATCTACTAGCAGCAAAAATCTCCACTATGTTATTCAGGGGCGATGCTAGTATTGAATTATTCCTCGTATACAACTGATACAACTGGAATTCCTTTGCTGGTAAAACTCGAACATCTGACGTGCAACGTGTCACCTAGCTCAAAATCTTTCTTGCCATTAGCCTGAACAGCAACCATTGTATAATCAAGATACTGAGGTGGACAAACCTTAAGTATCAGCAAGGTAAAATAAAATGAAAAAGACGAGTTTTGACCAACTAATCTTTGAATTAGTGGACTACTAGCAAACTGCTTCAGTTAAAAAAAGGTTTCAGTAAGGTTAAAAAGACCATAAAATATTGGAGAAAAGATGAGGGAAGTAGCAAACTAGAGAGCAATATAAATGCCAAGTACCTCAAATCGATACATTCCACGGATTCCTCCACCCAAATCAAGGACTAACCCACGTGTACGAACTTGATAAACTTTGGCAGTAATCTTCATTCCTATTTTCAGCTTTCTTGCATTCAAAGAAGTATCAAGTTCAGCTTCTTTATCATCCATTTCATTCCCACCGCGTGCTTCAGATGCAAAATTGTACTTATCCTCGCTTTCATCCTCACTTCTGAAGACAGTATCAGATTCCTTTTTTGTTTCCTTCTGAAAGAATGATTTTGGCTTCTTAGATTTTGTTGTTGAAGAGAGACCGGAATTAGAGAAAAGTGAATCATATTCATCATCTTGTGATGAGGAAGTTTTGGATTTGCGAACCCGTTTTGAAATACTAGCAGATTTAGTTTGGACTTAGAATTCTCACTCACACCATCATCTTTTTCAGCCTCATCACACTCAGCAACACTTCGAATTACTACCGCAGAGTTGCAGAGACGGGGAGGTTTACCCTAGACGTTTCATTTTAATATCTGGCAACTCTTCCACGGTCGATTTCTGCTGCTCCTCACCATAGAGAAATCCCCAATTGATGCCAAACTTAGGTGCTTTTTAGGAAGAGGACAGGATTGTCAAACACATTTTCATCTCATGTGCCGGTCGTGGTAAGGTAGCTTTACGAGATAGTTTAATGTTACCACGAACATCCTGCCCTATACACATCAGAGAAAGCTGCTGACCAACTGATAACACATATGAAATTTTGGAGACCTGATGAAAGTATGAAAACAAGATTTATGAGTAAGATCAACCTAACAAATAACCCACAAACAATTACTCCGCATCCCTATAAGAAAATCAGAAAACTATTCAGAAGTAGAAAACTGGCAGAAAACAATCAGTTTCCTCTAGCTGACATTAATCCTTTGGTTGAACATACTGGTTCATGGGAAAGCTCGGATATGTGTAGCAAGCCTTGCTGACCACCATTGAACTCCACAAAAGCACCATATTCTTTAATTGACGTTACAATGCCTTTGTAGATTCCTCCAACTTCAATCTCCCGGCCAACTATAAACTCAACCTGTGAACCAGCATATATTAGTACAGATACCTGAAACAGGACAAATATCAAAAACATTTCCTCTGTACTCTATACCAATCCATTAAACCTTTATCTACAAGCTTTAATTTATCAGTAAAAAGGTGATGATTTAAGCCTCCAGGGAGTATTATGAAGCAGCAAAAGCTTAAATACAAATGCAGAAAGTTACCCTACCCAATACCTGCCAGCATGCTTGGGTCAAATGTTAAAAATAGAGTTATATCTTAAAACAAAAAAAAAAAAGAAAACAAAAACCAAATAATAGTCAAAGACTAATTACATTGAGTGTTGAGAATCCTTCAAAAGCAACAGGAGCAGTAACTACTAAAAGAACCAAGTACCTTATCTTGAACTTTTTCCATTACAGACTGATTCTTAGCAACAATGGTAAGTGTACCATCACCTACAGAGATCCTTGCCCCTGAAAGATAAGAATCATGACACAATTAAAAACTAATAAAGAATTACAGAATCATTTATAATAAAATCACAGCAGGAACCAACATTTTCTAAAATTCATGGAGAAGGGAAAAAATCTGGAGCTACTCGAAGGTATTACAATTGGAAAAAATGGCAACCACATTGAAATCACTCATCTACTATTTGCCGATGACATCTTAATCTTCTGCCAGCCCAATGAGCAATCCCTTTTGGATTTGAGGTGTATTCTTCTCTGCTTTCAGGCAGTTTCCAGCCCGAAAATCAACTTAAATAAGTCTGAATTGGTCGTGTGTGGGGGCAGCACCTCTGGCCAACAATTATCGCAGGTCTTATTATCACAGGTCTTAGGTTGCAAAGTTTCACAATTCCCCATTAAATACTTGGGTGTTCCACTTGGCGCCAAGTACAAGGACAGTAGGAGCTGGGATCCAATCATTGAGCTGTTCCAGAACAGATTATCTAAAGGAGGTGGGCTAACTCTCATCAAGAGCACCCTCTCTAATCTCCCAATATATTACCTCTCCGGTGCTCACAATTCCAGAAAATGTTGCAAGAAAACTTGAATTAATCCAGCATAATTTTCTCTGGGGAGACGATGAAACAGCAAAGAAATATCATCTAGTGTG